AGTAGTTGGCGTTCTACTGGGTCAAAATGATGGAAACGATGTGAGAGTGTCTAACAGCTTTGCTGGTGTGTTATCTTAATGCCATGAGACCACAAGTTGGGCCGCGCTTACAATGATGATTGCAGTTCCCTTCGAAGAGGATGACAAGGACCCTTCAGTGTGGTTCCTTGACCACAATTACGTTGAATCAATGAACGATATGTTCAAGAAAGTAAACGCCCGAGAGAAGCTTATAGGATGGTACCACACCGGTCCCAAGCTCCGCGCATCTGATTTGGAGATCAACGAACTCTTCAAGCGCTACACGCCCAACCCCCTCCTCGTTATTGTTGATGTCCAGCCCAAGGAGTCAGGAGTGCCTACAGACGCCTACTTTGCCATTGACGAGATCAAGGACGTACGTTGACAACTAATACCAGCCTCAATCAACGAGCAAACCACTGACAGTTACTAGGACGGCACAACCACTGCACGAACATTTGTCCATACTCCTTCCGTCATCGAGGCCGAGGAGGCAGAAGAGATTGGCGTCGAGCATCTGCTAAGAGATATCCGCGATGTCGCCGCGGGGACACTATCTACACGAGTCACAAACCAGTTGCAATCACTTCAAGGTCTACACTTGCGCCTGCGAGACATTGGCGCATACCTCCAGAAGGTCCTCGACAAACAACTACCCGTCAACCACGCGATCCTTGGAAACCTTCAGGATGTTTTCAACCTATTGCCTAATCTCTCTACGCCCGATAGAGATAGCAATTCCGGTGGCGGCGAATTGGCATATGCGATGAGCGTCAAGACCAATGACCAGCTTATGGCTATTTACCTGAGCAGTCTGATCCGCGCCATCACAGCATTCCACGATCTTATCGAGAACAAGATCCAGAACAGGCAACAACAGGAGGAGAAGGAGGTTAAGAAGGAGGAGATCAACAACAAGGATGAGAAGAAGGAGGGCACAAAGGGTGCGAGCACCCAAGCTAAGGAAGGTGGCGACAAGGATAAGGAGAACAAGGAGACCAAGAAATAAACTACAAAGACAAAAGACCTGGCAGATGAACTAGAGTTGGACTGAGGTTCTTTGGCGTCTGGAGGAACCCACGGTGATGTCCCGGCCAAAGGCTAAGGCGAGAGCGCCTTTGTACATTGATTATATCAAACTGGACTTTTAGAAGATGGAGCGAGGATAATACATATCAGATGTAGCCTCAAACAGGCAAGCCTTTTGATATTGCTAAGACCTATTTTCACATGTCCGCAATAATGCCTGCCATATCTTCTCTTGAAACAACCCGATCCTCAACATACATGCCAAGCATTTCTGACCACTTATCCACAAGCAAGCAGGCGAGTAAATGTTTACAGCACGGTGGCGTATTTCCTTCAGGTCCCATGCTCGTGCCTCCAAAAGACCATGACCCTTCTTCAGAATGCAATTGCTGTGCTTCATCTGTCATCGACATATGATGACCGGGAAAAGCATCAAATGTGAAGCTTGCACATGAACAATTCCATGCGTTGAGATGGACGATGTAGCGTTTGGAGGATATATTGACGTCGCGAGGGCGCCGTGAGATTGTCGTAGCGAGTGAACGGACGAGAAATACGTCGTTCTTCATCAGGTCTAAAGGACTGTCGTGATCAAGTTCCTGGCTGCGCACCAACCTGGCAACGAGTCCTCGATCAAGAAGATCTAAAGCTGGAAGCAAAAGGCTTGGAAATAATACATGAAGGGTCAGGAGCAGAGGCCTTTGAGACGGAGAGACTGCTTGGAGTGGTGAAAGTGTGGGCAATTGGGCAGCTCGAAGCGGCTCTGTAGATGAAATGTTATCTGAAGTTGATGGCGTGATGGCCGAGATAGAACATATGAGAGCTGTAATTAATTCGCGATGGGAAGGAAGAGGCTCCATTGCCGTGGAGTCGATGCTGGGTTTGCATGGTTCGATGGTTGTAAAAGAAAGAAATTAGGCATGTGTTGGATACCCGTCTCCACGTTAATACAGACGATTCTGATGATCCAGAGTTCCTCAGAAAGCTGCCTCTTCCTAATCATCACAGGGCTAAAATTTCTGCCGAAAGACAGGTATTCATGGTTTCTTTAAATTATTTTGATTCTTTGTTGCGTCTTAGTAGACGCACCTGCTGTTTGGTTTTTGTAGCATGTACCACCATGGGCGTCCCCATCTCATCTATGATCCTCACATACCTATGATACACTAAACAATCGCTCTACCTCATGCTCCAACATGCATCTGCTTCTGTTTTAATTCAAGACAAGAATCTTAGACCCACTCCTTGGGGTCTCTGAGGACATCTACAAGGCGCTGCTCCCTGCTCTTCGGCTCGGGTTCATGCATATACTTCCACCCAGCAGTCAACGGCAAACTCATGAGAATACTCTCAACCCTTGAGCCGGGTGTGTTGAGACCAAACGCTGTACCACGATCGTGAACAAGGTTGAACTCAACGTACTTGCCACGGCGAAGCTGCTGCCAGTCTTTCTCCGCCTCGGTGTAAGGCATGTCCTTTCGTTTCTCAATGATGGGAATGTACGAGGGGAGGAATGCCTTGAGACAGTCTTGGACAAATGAAAAGGTGTTCTCGCGATCACGCTCCGTCTCGTCCAAGTCATCAAAGAAGATACCACCAATTCCACGGGCCTCTCCGCGGTGCTTGTTGAAAAAGTACTCATCACACCACTTCTTGAAACGGGGGTAGTATTCCTTGTCGTGAGCGTCGCAAGCGGTCTTGATCGTCTTGTGGAAGTGGATGGCATCCTCGTCGAAGAGGTACGAGGGCGTTAAGTCGCAACCGCCGCCGAACCACCAAGCTTGAGATGTACCATCAGGGTTCGCCGTTTCGAAGTATCGGTAGTTAAGATGCACAGTTGGGGCCATGGGGTTATAAGGGTGGAGAACCATGCTGAGTCCTGCGGCGAAGAAGTCGATTGATTCCATGTTGGGGTCCATGGTCTTGTGGTTTGCTCGCATCTTCTCAATGGCGGGCTTGGGAAGCGAGCCGTAGACAACACTCACACCAAGACCAGCCTTCTCAAAGACATTTCCCTCCTGAAGAACGCAGGTTGTGCCGCCTCCACCGTTGGGGCGTTCCCACTCGTCCTTGCGGAACTTTTTGCCGTCAACTCTCTCGAGCTCGGCAACGATCTGGGCTTGTTGCTCCCGAATAAACTTTTCCATGCGCAGTCGCATAGGCGAGTCCTCGTTGACGCCCGACTCGCGCTTCTTCTGAGCATCACGGTCGGCGAGGGTTGAAGGATCGGCGTTGATGGGTTCGATATCAGACTGAGGGTGTTATGTTCAGCAATTGGCTCTCCAACTGACTAGGAAGGGATTGGTACCATCTTGTAGGCTAGGGGGGCGGCGGCACCAAGGGCAACAGCGGCGAGCCACAGCGGGGAGTAGTTGGAGTAGGATGATCGAGAAGCTTTAGGAGCGGCGGAACTAGACAGCCAGCGTCTCGTAGAAGCAGATTGAGTTCTTGAGAAGCGTACGGAAGGAGAAGCAAGATGCGCAGCAAGGCGCCGAGCTGGCTGTTTGGCAGCCATGACGATATTATATATTCAACCCGAGGATTCGGGAGATATGACGGCAAATTAGGGCCACAGGGCCGAGAACGAGAACGAGACGGACAAGAAAGGAAACAGAAGAAAAAGAGACGACGATCAGGCGTTTCGGGTGAGGCCACTCGAGGGATGAGGCCAGGGTCCGATAAAAGGAAGGTTTAGAACAACTGAGAACTCGGGTGATAGTCAGAATCGAATGTTCGGCAATTGGCTTGTTTCTACGGAGGTCTTGGCTAGTCTAGTCGACTTCATAGAAGGGACGCGTCCGGTGTGGAGCAGAGAAGGACAACTCACGGCCGGTGCCGAGGGCGGTCAAAATCGACGCACCATTCGGGCGTACTAAAACCATTCCGCCATTGTAGCTCCGTTGCTGGATCCTACATAATGGTGAGACCTTCTGGATGCTCTTTATATGAGAATTAGAAGCTATAAAATGTTAAAACTTCTCTATGAAGCAAGGATTATTTTGTAATTATAGTACCTAGTTATGCAGCAGGGCTTGCAGGGTTGTCAGGCAGCTGCATGTTTGCCTCGCAGCGAACGAACTAACACAGAATGGCACCTGTTTGAAATAGCATTGGTGACTCTCTCTACTGACAGGAAAGGCCAAACCGCCACTATTCTTGGCTAGAATGGGCAGGTAGGTTGGCAGGTAAGAAGCTTTTACTAATACATGCTTGATAATATGATAATAAAACCTACCTATGGCAGGATCAAATTTTAAACTTCATAGTTTCGCTTACAGAGGTAGCCAGATACTTGATATAACCAGTTAAGTTTTCCAAGTACGGAACGAATTGTAATTGAAGTCTTTAGCAACTCTCATCAACTCGTCTTTTCAAGATATGTGTTGTGGGAAGAAGTTAAAGTCTGGACTAGAAAACGCTGTGCACCAAGACGGCACCAAGATGGCACTTATAAGCAGAAAAGAACCCTGACAGATGTCGCTAGACGTGGCGGGGGGTGTTTGGATTCTACAGGATGATATGGAGAAAAGATACAGCCAACAGCCTAGCCCTTTCTCAGACAGGTACGGAAAATATGACTTTAATAGCTACAGACACCTAAAACCATTTAGCGCTGCTAGTCCGTCGGATCCGGACCATAAATAAACCCGTGGAGTCCTTGCCGTGTCAGATTATCGATATTAATTAAAGAAACTCGTCGATGAACTCTGGGTCCTTTTGAGGATTCGCTCACAAACTCTCATTCTCGACCCTGTGACGATACAGTGCGACGTGACTTGCTGCTTCCCCGCCATTGCTGCCTCGCGGGGGCTCTTGTGATTCACCGAGCATCATGAAGCTAAACCATTTATAGTTTAGCCATCTAGCCCCGCGCGCATGTCCAGTCAACGTGAGTTGGGCTGGGTGCTGCTGCCACCTGCTAAGGTGCCATCTGCCCTGGGTTTCTGTTAATGCCCACTGTAACCCGCGTTGCTGCCTCTCAAGTCAAGACAAGTCAGGACAAGTCTGCGCTGGCCGACCGCTCATCTGTAGGTGTTTGCGCGTACTGTGTCTGTGTCACTGCCACCTTCTGTCACTCTATGCATTTCCTCACCTCACCTACTTATTCTGCCTGACGCAAGCAAACCGTAACCTAGTTCTTTTTCTCATTTCCAACCCTTCATCTCCCTTTTCTCCCCCTTCTTCCCTTCTTCCTCAACCACAACTTTCCAACTATTTCGCTGCCTGAACCCAACAGTCATTGCGACACTTGAATTCCACCACTCTTGACAGCACACTTACCGCCTCCACAACAACCATCACCGTCAACATGCGCAGCAAATTCAAGGACGAGCACCCTTTCGAGAAGCGCAAGGCTGAGGCCGAGCGCATCCGACAGAAATACGCTGACCGTATTCCGGTATGTAACTTTTAAAAATAACATCTTCTCTGCTTTTTGGGCGGAACAGCCGCTTTCACTCGACAACGACAACGACAACGACAGACTGGGGGGTTCCCGCCCAGTTACCGACCGCCTCCTCTCTTCATCTTTCCGTCACCCTACAATCCGCTTACATTTTACGAATAGGTTATCTGCGAGAAGGTCGAGAAGAGCGATATCGCGACCATCGACAAGAAGAAGTACCTGGTTCCTGCCGATCTGACCGTCGGCCAGTTCGTCTACGTCATTCGCAAGCGAATCAAGCTATCCCCCGAGAAGGCTATCTTCATCTTCGTCGACGAGGTTCTTCCCCCAACAGCTGCCCTGATGAGCAGCATTTACGAGGAGCACAAGGATGAGGACGGGTACGTTCCCTATCATGCATGGAATAAAGGCAAATTACTAACACGATCACTTGCAGCTTCCTATACATCACCTACTCCGGCGAGAATACCTTTGGCGAAGCGTAAGGCCGATGATGCAGGATCGGTTTTATCTTCCAAGTCGGGAATGACGAAGGCGTTACGGTCGTATTTTGGGTGAATGTTTTGATGGTCACTTGTCATGTTCTTATCAACTTTCTGTGTCCAGACACCGGACTCGAATAGAGTGCTTATTGCTCATTATGGTAACAATACATCTTCGGCGTTGTCGCATAGGGCAGCAACGACATATTGTAACCACCAACCAATATGACAATATCTGACCCTTCATGTGATTTCTGATTTATACTTTGCGCTGTTGGTTGAAAAAACACTCAAAGGCAGCAAATGTACAGCATCAAATAATAGGTACTCAATTAAACTTCTATGAGGATTAGCTGCCTGGACTGCCGTAAGCATCACCCGATCAGCTCAAATATACCAGTGAGCGCTAGCACGCCATGTACCTGACTGGCTTTGTCAGATTGTAAATGTAGGTAAGGGTGATCAGAACTGGTTGCAAATGACAGGGGTTGCTACTGATAAGGGAGCATGTGCCGCTGCTATTGAATGAAGAGTCATCCACAATACTCTAGTTATGCCTGTTCTTTTTCGCAAAGGGGAAAAAATTGAAAGAAAAGGAAAGCCGCTCGGAAAAGTCCATCTAAGTCTTCAGAACTCAAATAATCTTCGTTGATGCATGCGAGTTGAGGTCGGAGCTACTTTACGCCATTTCTTTTTGGAACGTCATCACACTATAGCGGAAGGACCCATTGGCGTATCCCCGTCTCATTGCGCGAAATGACTGTAAGAAGGCAATACCGTCACGACCTTGAGTGAATGCGAATGCCCATAAAGATGGGTTCTGTACGAGAGACCAGGTGATATCCCTAAGAGACAAAAGTGTAAGGCCGTTGCTAATGTTACTTTTGAAAGAAGCATATGAACGTACCATGTCTTTCGAACCTGTTGACTGATATCTTTCGGCTCGGCGAATACTTGAAGCCCAGCCTGCTTTGCCAAATCAAGGTAACCCTGCTGGGTACAGAGGGGTGGGAGGAGCATACCATCTGTTTTCTACTTAAGCTCGGGAATACGATTATCTTGCACGGAACCTTACCTTCAATGGGCTTGATATCGTTGGTGAATGTTGTGTCGTCCAAGCCCTCGGCCTTGAACCAATCGGCCAATACAAGCTTCCCTCCAGGCTTGAGGACTTTTATCACGTTCTCAAAGAATAGCGCTTTGTTCGGGAAATGACTGAGAGCCTCACTTATCCATACCGCGTCGAATGAGCCTTGTTGATTACTGAAGAAATCGCCCATTTTTTCGGCATCAAGCTCGAGGAACTTAACTTTCCCGTCACCGAGCTTAGTGAAGCCATGATCTTCTGATACATCGAAACGTGAAGCCCCATCTTCCACAGCGGCCTTGGTCAAGCGGTCCGCTATCTCAACTTGTTTTGTGGAGATGGTAATTCCAGTAACAGAGCTACCATGCTTGGATGCGAGATAGCGAGAAGTGCCACCGATACCACATCCAACGTCTAAAACCGAGCCTCTGGAGGGGATTTTTGACATGTCGAGAAGCAACTGAATGAGGTTTGCCTGCGCTTCCTCTTTTGTCTGTGTAACTTCAGATTCCGCTGTTGGCCAGTATCCATGATGGATATGCTCGCCCCTGGTAAGAGTAAGCAAATCAGCAAAGTGATCGATGTAGATAGTTTTGAGGATTTCATCAAGCTTCTGACGCACCATAAACTCAGGTAGTAGTCACTAGCAAGGTCATAATGTAGTTTGATCCTGTCTTTGAGGACTTGCATAGTTGAGTGAGCAAGGCCGAGTGGGGTGTCATATTGCTTGCTCAAGTCGGTAGCTTGCTCTTCAGAGACTGCGGCCGCCATGGTTGCAACTATGGGTGTCTAGGTAGTTGAAGGTAGCAGTATACGGAGACAATGAAGCAAGGCTCTACGGTTGGTGTCTGTGAGCGAAACGATGCGATGGTATTGACGTGAAATACCAACTTTAACCCGCTGACAGCTCTTATTACCCCGCGGTTCCAGTTACGCATTGGTGACTGCAGGGTGACACAATTGCTACCAAATTCTAGAGAAGGCGCTATGTAGAAAAAGACAGACGTGATTGTGAGTACAGATGAAGACGCTGACTTTAGAGTTCCCTTGGTCATAGGAGATCTTGATGAATCCCTTCTTTGTCAAAGATAGTGAGTTCTACGAGACTTCCTCATGGTCCAACGACGACAATTCATAGACAATAAATTATTAAACAAGTGATTTCTCCCAGATAAAGAGTATCACGCCCCTTAGCCCCTCTCCTCGGTAGATCGATCGCAGTTTGTATTCACAACGGCCAATCTTGTCCATCATACGACTATTTGCACGATAACGGCAGTTTTTCGCTAAATTGGCAAACAACAAATAGTTAAAGATGCTGCTCTCAAGGGTCGGGATTTCGCCTCGTCGAATGAATACCGTTATTTTAAGCTCTCCCAAGATGGTTGGGTTTCGCTGGGCTTTCCGTTACCAGTGGGCTCCGTTTCATTACGCGCCAAGATAGCTGCCAGCGGCTGTACCCGCAGCCAATCGTTTTACACAGGAACGACCGTATCGCGACCAACTTTCCGATGGGTCGATATACAAGGCGCTTCGTAAAATTGCATACTCTATTTTGAGGCGAGTCGCTTGGATACTTTCTTCTTCTTCTCTTGTTACACTTTTATTACATACATGCAGTCCACTGTATCTCTTGGTAGGTAGCATTCGCCCACATCATGAGCTGAAAAGTCAGGAACAACTCCCCCTCTATATGACATCATAGCAATTCTTGACCCGCCTCTTCTACGGCTAAATACTAAACACCTTCACAACTCATCGTCTCTTCTCACCGCTGACCAAGTTTCAGAATATGCATGGCGATGATCAGAAACATATTCAGTCAACCCATGGCTTGGGAATTTTTTAGTCAGTCTTTCTAGAAAATCCTGTTTCAATCACAACTCATCAGTGGCGATTTCTTTGGACGAGATCAGCGGTTACCAACCACGTGAACCCCTGTCGTGGAGGGGTCCTAAACAGAGACCCTTTGACCATTTCTGGAAAGCTATTCACCAGGGTCCAGGGGCCGTAATGCTAGAGCGACCCTTTTTCGGGGTTTGATTGGTTGTCAGCCCTGGCCTTGTTCACCACCTCAACTACAACATCCTGGTCGGTAACTAAAAAAATATTCACCATTACAGCCTGTTCTCAGGACGATCGTAGCCGTTCCCAATCTTCCTCGGAAGACCCTGCTTCTCCCAGTGACCTGCACGATGAGTCTCTACGGCGCAGTTCCCCGAATAGCCAGAAGGTTAGAATCAGCCAAGATCTTTGCCTGCATTTTGCCCAAGCTACTTGGGCTACCAGGGCTTCATGAGAATTGACTTGCAATGGCGTCACCCGCTCGGACAACCAAGATGCGTTGTCTTCCTATTAGATAAATCCCCATGCTTCTCATCTCTGACTGATGCTGAGGTTTCGAACGCTGGGCACCACTCATCTCTGTCGCTCCATGGTGTTCCCCTTGCCTTCTGAGTGAGTCACTATATATCTATACATTAACTCGCACACACCCCCATTTACTTGGTGGCCGCTGTCGTTGATGCTGTGGTATTGCAAATCGCCCTGCTCATTGCGCAAGTCCTCCGTCTCTGATCTAGACTACCTGGTCTGGAGCGACTCTAGTATAACAAGCAACCCAAGCTTGATGCGGCTGGACCACTCAAGCGACAAGTCAAACCACCTCGTATAGACAACCCAGCGCAAACACAAACGCAAGTCAAGCCTCAGCTTTGCTTCAATACAAACGCCATCTAACCTCCCGTTCAGACTACCCTTCACGCTTGGCCAAGTTTCGGAATTGCTTGTTCAAGCCTTTCCAAACATCGTGAGTGGCTACTGGTATAAGCGGGCGCTTAGCTCAACCTCACCACTTTGCGCTCTAAGCGCTGTCGTGTCGCCAGATTTATCGAGAAATCCAAAGGCATTTCTGCTCGAATTACTATTGATCGGGAATTGTTATTCATTGGATACTTTTGTTGTGGAGTGAACCAGGTAAGTTGCCGAAGTATCCTCCTTCATCTGCTTTTCTTATTGTCCTTGTGCCCCTCTTCCTTATCGTTGTTCTATTGTTCAATTACTTTTTTCTTTCACTTATTCAAACGCAATTGTACCTATACCCCAAACAATCAGCATGGAATCATAGACAATAGACTGGAAATATTTTGCTCACGCCCGTCGTTTCCTTTGTCGCATTTTCTTTCATCTGACGGTCTTGGATTCTTTTTATAATTAATCTTTGTCCTTCTATCGCCTTAATCATCATCATCACCACTGGGCCCTCAACTGGCTTATTTTTTGCTCGCTACAACTCACTGCATCTTCCCATTTATTCTACTCAAACAAATTTGATCGTTCAAATAAGCCAACACGCATAGATACAAGATGTTCTCCTCACGGAAAGAAAACGACGACCCGCCGGTCTACCCGGCTGTACCCAACTCCCTTCGGTCAGAATCATTCGAGATGACCGAGATGCGGAAAGTTCAAGAAGCTCGAGCCGACACTTCTCCAAATGTTACCCCCTATCTAAGTCTCCGATCAAGACTCTCCCAGATATGGATCAATCGCTGGACAATTCTTCTCATCCTGGTCCTTATCCGGGTCATGATTCTAATCGTTGACCTCAAAGAGAACGTTGGTGACGCCAAAATCAAAGCCCTTTCAGCCTGCACCAAAGTTGAAGACGTTGGAAGCGCCATGGCTTCCATGCCTCACTACCTATCGAGGGGTGTCAACGAACTCGCAGCCTCTGGAATCGAGAAATCGGTCGACGCCATGGTGTACATGCTCGACCTCGTTCTGGCGGGTGTCAAGAATATGATTATCTTCTACATCAACTTCCTTACTGCCACATATGTCTGCCTGATTACCGCCATGGTACACGGCAGTCTAAACATTGTTGCCGATGTAACAGAAGGAGCAACAGAGAAGTTCAACAGCTTGATTGACAAGGCCACCAGCAAGATTGAAGATATTTCAAAAGAACTCGAAGACGGTATCAACGGTCTCACTAAAGGCATTGAGGACTCGGTCCTCGGAAGTTTGGTTCCAGATATTCCCGAGGTTGACTTTTCTAGCCCCATCAAGGAACTTAAGGATTTCGATCTCAAATCCGAAGATTTTGTCAAAGATGTTCGACAGTTGGAGGATGACCTGCCCGACTTCCGAGAAGTTCAAAACCTGACTGAGCAGGCAATTTCTATCCCGTTCGACTTTGTCCGCAAAGCCCTCAATGAAACATATGGCAACTACAAGTTCGATCGGGATGCTTTTCCTCTTGCCCAGAAGCAGAAGTTGAGCTTCTGCTCTGAAAATGATGCCCTGAACGGTTTCTTCAACAACCTGTTCGAGCTTATCGCCAAAGCCCGAACGATCTTTATTGTAGTTTTGATCATTCTCGCTCTGGTAGTCATCATCCCCATGGCCTGGCTTGAGATTAGACGCTGGCGACGACAGCAACAGCACGCACGTCTCATCGCTCAAAATGCATATGACCCGATGGACATTGTCTATATTGCGTCTAGGCCTATGACCGCAACTTTTGGCATCAAGGTTGCCTCACGCTTCAAGGGCAAGCGACAGGTCCTTGTCCGCTGGCTCATTGCTTATGCTACCTCAGTCCCGGCCTTGTTCATTTTGTCACTCGCCATTGCTGGTTTCTTCTCTTGCTTCTGCCAATGGCTCCTACTGCGAGCAATCAAGAACGAAGTACCTGCGCTGGCAAACCAGGTTGGTGCATTCGCCGATGATGTTGTAGAGAACCTTGAGAGTGTCTCTGCCGGTTGGGCCAATGACGCCAACGGTGTTATCACAGGCTTCAGCGACGACATCAACCACGATGTTCTGGGCTATGTGACCAACGCTACGGATGCTGTCAACGATACACTTAACACCTTCCTCGAGACCATGGATGATGGCCTCAACACTGTCTTCAAGGGGACTATCCTTCTCGACCCTATTAAGACGGTCCTCCACTGTGTCATCGGCATCAAGATTGAGAGCGTACAGAAAGGATTGACTTGGGTACACGAACATGCCGAGGTCAAATTCCCGCTCTTCGAGAATGACACTTTCAGCAAGGGTGCCAAGGACTCGGTCGATGGTGACGCGGAGCTTAACTCGTTCCTGGCATCCCCGTCTAGCGCCACTACTGATGAGGTTACGGGGGCTGTCAAGGCAGTTACAGATTGGCTTCACAACAAGCTCATTCAGGACGCTCTCATTTCCACTGGTTTGGTGCTCTTATACGTGCTCGTCGTTCTCATCGGCACGGTGTGGACAATAGTCGGTATGATCTCCCCTGATAAAGGCCGTGCTGAAGGCGGTATGCGCTTCACCGGAGACAACAGACCAGGCTTCAGCCCTCGTGTTGGACACCATGATCCTGCAAATCCTAATGGTGCCGCGAGCTTCCCTCGATTCGGATCCTCCTCAGGTGAAGAAGATCACTATAGAGAAGCGACAAGCGGACGTGATGAGAAGTTTATGTCTGGGGCGACTGGGGCCCGCGCCACACAGGTCGACGGCCATCAAAGAAGCAGCTCCTACGGTTATTTGGATTCGGCAAGCGGCAAACACTAGGAGTGTTGGAGCCCGATTAACAGTTGAAGGATGGTATTCTCTGCAGTTTTATATTACTCCGGCTCCGGCTGGACCCGCGCCGTGAGAGACGATCCTTACTCGACTGCATGAAGCAATGATTTATGGAATGCGTTGACATTATATTGGAAAAATGGAGGTAACTCAAAGGGTATTTTAGTTTGCTTCTCAATTGATATCCCGAAGGCAAGGAAAAAATGCATTAGTCATTTATGCTTCGTGCTTAAGGGGTGGTCCTGAGTCTGAACTCATGGTGGACACTGATTGTGGACATGATATTGGACCAGATGATTTCTAGTTTCACTCTAAACTTAAACTGAACAAATTGACGACTGCAATCTACAACCACGAAAGTATTTCCCACTGCATTGTGACTGTCTCTATACTTGTACTTGGACGTAGTTGCATGTGGCCAGTGTTGGTTGTGTATCCTATACCCTTTTGAGGGCGTTTGTTTGCTTGTTCTACTACGTACGGAGTAATTCTTTGTTTACAGCATCACGGTGTTCATCTGGACTTTTGTTTTAAGCTGCATGACGTCGGAGTTTCTTTACAAAGAGATTTCCCAATGGGCCATCTCCACCTGCAGACAGGTTGGTAGATTGAATGTCTAGATAGTAGCTGAGAAAACGAGCAATGGCCTATACCTGCTTGACGCACACTCTCTAGTTGTAAGCACTGCAGCATGACTAATGCTTAGATCCTGCATTTGTTCAGGAATTGGATATGGCATGAAGTTAAATGCCATGCCGCACTGCAAGTCCCTGAAATTGTAACCGGCCAACGTCCAATGTCATGGTTGATTGACTACCGCATTAGGCAAGTCCGGGGTCGATGTGGGCTACTATGATGCCGGCTGCAGGGCGGAGTGTGGGCGGAACCTGCAGCTGCGGGCGACGTGCATGAGGACAGGGCAGGGGCGATCCAAAACGAGTCAATGGTAGGTGGCGGAATTCACTCTTCCGGCATCGGTGGCGGAAAATGCAGTCACCAACAACGTCGGTCCCAAAACTTCTTTAAAGACAACAAGTCCTCGCTCGAAAATACCAATTCTCTCCCCATAATTCCCACAGAGACCAGAGACGAAATCAATTCGCCATGGACGCTATCAAACAGACTTTCAAGCGCTGCAAGGAGCAGAACAGGGTCAGTACATCCATCATGAGTGCCCCTCGGCGGGGCAAATCGATGATCAACTCCAATGCCCGACAAGACAAAGAAGCTGACAATTAATTCTTTTCTTTGAGGTAGTCTGCGCTGGTAACATACGTCACTGCCGGTTACCCCAAACCTGAAGATACTCCCAACATTCTGCTGGCTTTGGAAAAGGGTGGTGCTGGTAAGCTTTTCCGTCGCAATGGAGCACATGAGCTGTATTGACCAAAGTTTCCTCTAGACGTTATCGAAGTCGGCGCACCTTTCACCGACCCAATTGCCGATGGCCCAACTATTCAGACCGCCAATACGGTAGGTAAATCGCTATCCCTTCGAATGAATGAAAACTAACTGATCTAGATTGCACTCAACAATGGCGTCACGATCGAGTCCACTTTGGCCATGGTGAAGGACGCCCGATCTCGTGGCCTCAAGGCCCCCGTGATGCTCATGGGTTACTACAACCCCCTTCTCAGCTATGGTGAGGAGAGATTACTCCAGGACTGTCACTCATGTGGTGTCAATGGTTTTATCGTCGTCGACCTGCCTCCCGAGGAGGCCGTTTCTTTTCGCAAGCTCTGCAATAAGGGCCGGTGAGTCTGCCCAAAATGCCTACTATCCAACACGAAACTAACATTATATCTAGTCTTTCATATGTTCCTCTTATTGCCCCCTCCACCTCAGAAACCCGAATGAAGATTCTCTGCCAACTTGCCGATTCATTCATCTATGTCGTCTCTCGCATGGGTGTCACTGGCGCCACTGGCACTCTCAACGCCAACCTCCCCGATCTTATCGAACGAGTCAAGAAGTACAGTGGCAACAAGCCCGCAGCTGTTGGATTCGGTGTCAGCACCCGAGAGCATTTCCTGAGCGTTGCAACTCTTTCAGACGGAGTCGTCGTCGGCAGCCAGATCATCACTACAATTAAAAATGCCGAGCCTGGTCAAGCCCTTTCCGATATCGAGAAGTACTGTGCCTACCTGTCAGGCCGTGACTCTGGAGATTCAAACACTAGAGAAGTTGGCCTTGTTGAGGCCGTTGCTGGAGCTAGGGAGCCCAGTGGTGACAATGTTACTGTCAGCGATACTATTACAGATGCAGATATCACTGCCGAGGAGGACAGTGCTTTGGTGGCCCAGCTTGCTGCTCTTCATGGCAAGATCCCTGAGCGATTCGGCGAGTTCGGTGGTCAATATGTTCCCGAGAGTCTGATGGACTGCTTGTCCCAGCTTGAGGAAGGCTTCAACGCGATCAAGGACGACCCCTCATTCTGGGAGGAATACCGATCTTACTACGAGTACATGGGACGACCGGGCCATTTGCATTTGGCTGAGCGACTCACTGAACATGCTGGAGGTGCCAACATCTGGTTGAAGCGCGAAGATCTGAACCACACTGGCAGTCACAAGATTAACAATGCTCTGGGACAACTCCTCCTTGCCCGCCGACTTGGAAAGACTCGAATCATTGCCGAGACGGGTGCTGGACAACACGGTGTTGCTACTGCTACCGTTTGTGCCAAGTTTGGCATGGAGTGCACAGTATACATGGGAGCCGTAAGTTTTGCCGAATATTTCGAAAGTACGAGAACTAATGCAATGAATAGGAGGATGTCCGACGACAAGCTCTCAACGTTTTCCGTATGCGATTACTCGGCGCCAAGGTCGTCGCTGTTGAGGCTGGCAGCAAGACTCTCCGAGACGCTGTCAATGAGGCTCTTCGTGCCTGGGTTGTCGATCTTGATACCACTCATTACATCATTGGTTCTGCTATTGGACCTCATCCCTTCCCCACAATCGTCCGAACTTTCCAATCTGTTATCGGTAGAGAGACCAAGGAACAAATGCTCGAGAAGCGAGGCAAGCTTCCTGATGCTGTTGTGGCTTGTGTCGGTGGAGGCAGCAACGCTGTGGGCATGTTCTACCCCTTTGAGAATGAGCCCAGCGTCAAGCTTCTTGGTGTCGAGGCTGGTGGCGACGGTGTCGATACCCCACGACACAGTGCTACCCTCACTGGTGGTTCCAAGGGTGTTCTTCACGGTGTGAGGACCTATGTTCTTCAGGACAAGCATGGCCAGATCAGTGAGACTCACTCCGTCTCTGCCGGTCTAGATTACCCTGGTGTTGGTCCCGAACTGAGCTCCTGGAAGGACAACGAGAGAGCCAAGTTTGTCGCTGCCACCGACAGCGAGGCCTTCCTTGGTTTCAAGCTCATGAGCCAGCTTGAGGGTATTATTCCCGCTCTTGAGACTGCTCATGGTATCTACGGTGCCATTGAGCTGGCCAAGACAATGAAGAAGGGCGAGGATATTGTCATCTGTGTGAGTGGTCGTGGTGACAAGGATGTGCAGAGCGTCGCCGATGAACTTCCCAAGTTGGGTCCCAAGATTGGATGGGATCTCCGTTTCTAGATTAAAAGTGATACCATATTTGGATTAAATAGCAACTGTTGAAATGATAGCATGAACAAAAGTCTTTCTCTATCTTGACTCTGGCAGGATACTGATACAATGATTGGAAGGCGTTGAAAAGGTTTTTTTTTGGTACATATTATACATCAAACATTTTACACTGTTATCTTTTGCGCTCCCCCTGTCGTTGCGACTTCCGCCTCTGCGTTATCCAGCTGCTGCATCAACAGAGCCTCTTCCTCGTCCGATAGCTCCTCGACGCCTTCGAGATTCGCCAAGTCTTCTTCGCCCAACACAAATTCCTGAGCCAGAAGCTCACCTCGGGTCGCTTGGCTGCGTTTACTCAAGGGACCAGGTGTAGCGACATCAAGCGCATACTGAATAATATCGTCCCTGTCCTCAATCTCCTTAGGCTCCATACCCAGCGCCACACGCTCAGCGTTGAATTTCTTCTGGATGTCCTTGGACTGCATAAGAAGCCACCGCAAGTTCCAACCACCGGGGCCGAGCTCCTTTATTCTGGCAGGCTTGCTCTTGAGTAGATACTCCTGGAGGCCACCCTCACGGCGGATGGTTTTGAGCACACGGAGTGTAAGACGGGTCTTGACGTTGGCGTTTAGGGCGGGCAGCTTGAAAACCTTGACGTGGACGTTCGGGCGCCAGAAACGACGGGCCTTGTTGTTGTACTTTTCCGCAACAGTGTTACCGAATCGAATTCTCGCAGACCCGTAAAGACCCTTGTTGGATTGCTTGTAGAGTTGACGCTCGCCATAAGGGTATGGAGGAATAATACGGCTAGGTAGAAGATGTGACTTGATCGTCTTGGTCTGCTGAGGTAGGGTCGTGCTGAAAAGTCGGGTGGGAATCACCGGCGATGGTGAGGCCAGGGCCCTTAGAGCTGGCCGGGCGGGGGCCCAAGATGTCATGATATCGGTCTAGGTCTCGAGGCGAGTATTCGGTATGGGCTTTTCCGGTTATGGGCGAGACATTGGCCTCAATTGACGTCGGAGTGGGCGGATATTTTGAGCGCAGACTGCCCTGTTCAAGATGCGCTGATCGTCGACGGTACCTCCAACCTTGGCCTTCTGGTGTTGAGATTTTTGGGCAGTCGTCGTTCGGAGGCGACTGATGTTCCGGCGCCGGAGACAGCGGTCGCCAATTGCCCAATCAGGTGATTTCGTGCTGTATTCGCGATAGCTCCACTGCACCTTCACTAATAACAAACCAAACAATAAGTATAAGGCTATCGGAAACAGACAGCGGGAGTTGATGTTTGACATATCATGACAATGTTCCCACCTGTTGAGGACTCGGTTCTGCAGAATAATCCAGATTTTGCCAATCTTTATAACAAACTAACGAATGTTGTTCTCAACCCGGATGGATCAACACAGAATGACCCTCGGGCTAAAGAGCGGGCTTCTGTTCGAGAGGTAAGAGGACTCCTCCTTTTACAAAACACCAGATGTAATAAAACAAGAATTCTTATTTTCTCATCAGGAGCTTGACCGTCGCCGTCTAATTTCTGCAAAACAACATCTCCTTACATGTGCTATCTCATCAGCAACACCATCAAGCACACCGCCTGCAGCAAGAGCATCCTCACGTCTACAACCTCCCAAGAGTCAACAAACGGGAGACTCAAGATCTCAACAACAGCCCTCGCTTCCAGAACCTCTCTTAGATCTTCTAATTGTGCTCCCTCCATTACTCGACGCCAACAATTCACCTCTTCCTCAAGATACCCTCCAATTGCTGTTTGCTCATCCTCCCCTTTCTGAACTCGAGACACTACTTCCAGCTTTGGCGCCGATTATCGCTTCAAACCTGCGTACCTGGGCATTGGGACTTGCGCGGATTGCGCATCCTTCTACGAACGCTTCCTTTCTCCACCGCCACATCGTCTCATTACCAACTACGTTATCTGACTGGCGTTCTGATCTCGCCGCTGCTGAATCAGAACTCGGTTCTCATCGTCTACGCTCTCTTGCCGCCTTGACATCCCTTCTCCAAGCCGCTACCAATGCGCTGAGTCTTTTGATTCGCGCCCTCGAAGTCAAGCATGGCAAAGTAGCTCGTAGTCTAGAACTTCGTGCTGCAGAAGTCTCACTCCATGCCCGTCGTTATGATGCCGATGTTGCTATCGCCGCAGCTTCTGTGCGTCGCGCAGTCTATACACCTGAAGCGATCACCGCTCTTAAGAATTATGGTGCTCATTTGCGTGATGCCAAGATGCGAAGTGAGGAGCGCACTCGAGGCTTGGCAGCTGAGCTTGGAGAGTATGGAGTTGGTGTTGGCGGCGGAGAAATCAAGGAGAAGAAGATGAGGGAGATGTCAAGAGTATACCGGGAAGTGACGAGACAAATGGACGACACAAGAAGAGATCTGGACCGATTGAACCAAGGATGAGTGGGGAGGGATATTAATTGTGAGATGCAATCTTTTAGGAACTAATCATGCTATAATAAATGAAACTATAGTAAACTAAACGCGAAGGAACTTACAGAGTGGTGTCAATATAGTTTGTTCTGGATGTCTATCCCAGGAGATCAAGTGGCAAATAGACCATTTCACTTATTTATATCCAACACGCTACGGGTCAATGATTCAACACATTAGCTTCGTGTTTTATATTCAGTTTACTCATACATATATTTTCAAGCTGTCTTCACCGCGTCATTAATTCGCCAAGTCGGGCACTTGACCTAGATCAAGATCTGGGTATTTTCAATCCATCTGTCCCCGACCGACAGCCTTCTGATCGTAGCGTGATGTTGATTTCAAGGCGTCGTTCGTTTGGCGCGACGCCGTTTTCCTAGCACACATCCTCCTTTTATTAAGCTGCTATTCTCTTATACTTAACCCTTGACCTTGTAGATGGCCTCAGCGAGGCGGCCAACGTTCTCAGAGGTGATACCAGCAACGGAGATACGGCCGTCCTTGGTGGCATAGACGGAGAACTCTTCGGCGAGACGGGTCATCTCCTCAGCAGTTAGGCCAGTGTAGGCAAACATGCCGATCTGGCTGGTAATGTGAGACCAGTCGTGCTTGGAGCCGAGCTTCTCAAGGTTATCCTTGAGGAGAGCACGCATGGAGATGATACGGTCAGCCATCTCCTTGACCTCGCCGAGCCACTGCTTGTAGAGGGTAGGGCTGTTCAGAATCTCGGCGGCGATGCGGGCACCGTGGATGGGAGGGTTGGAGTACAGAGGTCGAATGAGAATCTTGAGCTGAGAGTCGACGCGCTTCTTCTCGTCGGCATCGGCACAGACCATGGAGAAGGCACCAATACGCTCACCATAGAGACCCTTTGAAATAATTAGCGAACTACTCGAAGAGCCATTATGTCAGTTCACAATATGTTCAAGACGTACCATGTTCTTGGCGAAAGACTGGCAAAGAGCAATGTTGTGGCCCTGCTCAACGAAGTAGCGAACAGCGAAAGCATCCTTGTCAGTGTCACCGCTGGCAAAGCCCTGGTAAGCCATATCGAAGAAGGCGAAGTGACCCTTCTCCTTGACGACGTCGGAGATTTGCTTCCACTGCTCCTGGGTAGGATCAACACCGGTGGGGTTGTGAGCACAAGCATGGAAAAGGAAGACACTGCCGTTGGGGGCAGCCTTGACATCAGCAATCAGACCCTCAAAGTCAAGGCCGATAGTCTTCTTGTCATAGTAGCGGTACTGCTCAACCTCGAGGCCGGCGTGGTTGAAGACGGCCTTGTGGTTAGCCCACGAAGGCTGAGGAATGTAGATCTTCTTCTCGCCAGGGAAGAACTTGGCGAGGAAAGCAGCACCGACACGGAGAGCACCAGTACCAGAGATGGTCTGGGTGATGGTGATGCGGTCCAAGGCGGGGCTGTTGGCGCCGTAGGCCAGCTTAGCGGCGGCGGGAGGGAACTCAGGAACACCAGTGATACCAGCGTACTCCTTGTTCAACTTAGACTCGACGACCTTCTTCTCGGCCTCACGAACGGAAGGGAGTACGTAAGGCTTGCCGGCATCGTCACGGTAGGCACCGACACCTGTATACGAATCGAGTCAGACCGATTCGAAAGATAGCGAGATACCTCCGCATTCGGGGTTGGATGGGGATGACGTTGCGACATACCCAGGTTGATCTTCTTGTCGAACTTGTCGGCCTTGAAGGCTTCAGTGATACCTGAGAAATGATGTTAACACGATTTTCTGAGGTAACAATGTGTTTTGGGTTTGGCGCAATATGTTCCATACTTGGAGCAACGGGGCGCATTGCACCAGGTGGAAGTCATCGTACGTACCAAGAATGGCCTGTTTGGAATCAAAAGAAGCAATTGGTTAGCAACAGAGCTGGCGCAAAGCCTATGTAAAGAAAAAATTACTCACATCCTGTGAAGAATTAGCATGAGATCACAAAGAACATACGCGACAGAATGGGAAGCAAGCTCATACAGGAGGACCTTGAGGGACGTTGGCCCAGTTGGAGGCAGCGCGGATGGCGGCCAGGTTGTACTGAGCAGGGCGGGCAGCCCGTCGGCTGGCAACTCGGAGTGTGGACAGCATTTTGAAGGTAATGATGCGATGGGTTAATGATGGAGGAGAGGTTGGAGGGGAAGGGAGGGACTAAAAGAAAAGAGAGGGAGGAGAAGGAAGATCACTTGAAGCGGTTCTCTAGCGGAGAGTGACTCCTACTACTACTACTACTTCTACTAGACGAGACGTGGTGAGTCTACCATAATTTTGTCGATCGGGCCTCTTCGGCGGTGGGCTAAAGCAGCTTGTAACCAATCAGATATCAAATTCTGCTTCCAGACCCTTGATTTATGGGGGGTCTCAAGGTAGCTCCCACAGAATGAGCTCACCTGCGTCAGGGCATTTTGGTGGACTTTGCTGTGAAATTCTGGTGGGGCTACCCCGGACATCGGCGTCAGTGTTAAGAATCGTAGGTAGTCAGGCCAGGGAAACATTGCTCATGCTGAGTGGTGCGCCTGAAGCGGGTGATTGTGCTTGCTCAACCTTGTTCTTCCTTTTCCTTTTATCCATCACAACTCATCCATTATCAACCTCATTATTCATGCGATTTACCAAGAGACCAATATCATTCCCACGTTTACCTTCATCGTCAATATCCTGCCAGATTAGGATGGCATGATCTAAGTAAGCTCCAGAAGCCCGGACCCAAAATGCCTACTCAAATCCGCTTGAAGTCCGGGATCTAACTACATATCCCTGCATCTTGGCGAAAGGCATTTACACATGTCAACATGAGAGCTTGTTCTCTCATTCCGGAGCGCCGATTATCGATTGCCTGTGCAGCCATCCCCCTCCATCCATCTCCGTGGCAGCATAGAGTTGCTGTTATCATCAACCACTTGCTACCATCAACTTGGGTTCCAGTTTACCTATAAGGCACTCTGAACAAAAAGACGCCCGAAGGAAAGCAATGGATCTCACTCATAAACCGTCGGCAACCGCATCCCGATCCTGGTCTGGAAAAGACAGTCGATATTCTTCCAGCCGCCCGGTCGACTCCGACCTATTTTTACCGCGCAACCCTATGAGGGTCTTCCGCTGGGCCTGTAGCAGCGGGTCCGCTGTCGTAATGGCATTCCTCGATACAACTTCCGCTTGTCCAGCAGGTCAAGTTGCTGCCGCGTACCGTCCACGCTAACACCTAGTTAACATGTTCTACTGCCAAGCCCTTGTTGCGGCTTTTGGTGTCTCATTACACTACAGTTGTGGTAACTCACTCACCCACATATGCACGCTCTCTGCCGTCCACCGGCTCCGCCCTCGTGACCGGCCCGGCCCCGTTTGCTAAACGGCGACCGGCTGGCAAGATTTATGTTATGTGATGTCGCCATTCAATACCTTTAAACGTTGCAAGTGAGCATAGGAAACTTCTTGGGTAGACGCACGACGACTAGCTATCTCAAGCTTGAAGCTACCAACATGTACGTTAAAAGCGAGTGGACACAAGTAGGTTGGGAAAGTGATATAAAAAAAACCATTGCTTCCATTATTTCGATACCTTCCACAAATATATCTTTGGCTTTTTACCCACTCTATCATTATTCTGAATCCATAGCGTATAAGCCTTGTTCCCCAACGCCAACGCCTAAGTGATGCTAACATTAATGCCGATCAAGATCCGAGATATCTCCTTAACCAAGATCTCCCCATCTCGCATGCGGCACGGCTCAGGTGGCCATGAAATCGCTTGTGGGATAGCTTTACCCGACGCCGAGGCACAGCTTCCCAGTCTCATCTCCTCCATACATGGTCTGAATCATCTGTGCATGATACAGTGGCTGCCTAGTCTTCAGTATCAATTCATGCTTTGCTATGGACCTTCTCGGATGGCGCATCCGCGAGTTCCTCATAACGGTTCATAACGTTCTCCTCAACTGTTTCATGGAACACATCCACCTCGGTTGAAGCAAACTTCCTTGCGCTGATGCCTCTTTCGAAAAGCACGTCAAGCTCTGCAAAGGTGCGACCACTCGGCTCCGGTAGTCGAAAGAAGGTGTAAATAATGCACAGAAAGCAAATGCCGCCCTATTCTCTTTGTCAGCAACATAGAATATTTATTATGAATCTTCCAAGGCTGACTGCCTACCCAAAAGAATCCTGCATAGTTGCCCCAGTCCCAGGCTGTAGGGTTGAGCATGTAGGGTGTCAAAACACTGTTGATGATGCCAACGACGTTGCTATCTACTGGTTAGCTACAACGACAAATGATTCAATCTCGGCGAAGGCGTCAAGTGAGGGGGGTGTCCCCAGACTTCACCAATGGTTGCAACTTACTATAGATTGCGGCCAAGAACGACTGTCTTGATTTGCAAGCGACGAGATGACAGTTCGCCGACAAGAGAATAACATACGGTGCCTATAGTCAACTGGTAGAAGAGAGCCCAGATGATCATCATGCAGCCTGTGGCTAATGAAGATTGGGGGCGATGGGCCTCGGGCACCAAGCCAAGGAACCCCATGATGAGCAGCATGGAACAAAGGCCACAGAGGCCATAGAGTACCAACGATCTTCTGCCGATGCCCAAACTCATAAGCCCCCAAGCACCAAAGACTCCTGCCATATTGATACCATACTGGCCAAGGGCAAACGAGTACGCCTTGTCGGCCGAGAGTCCAGATTGTTCGAGGAAATAGGTGGAATAATTGGAGAAGGAATTGCCACTCAGATTTTGGATGGCCCAGATCATGCAAACAATCTCCGTGCGGCGAAGGTCGGTGCCCTTGAAACAATCCATGTAGGATGCTCCCGCTGTAATCTTCTCTTCAAGGGCGGTGGTATGCACCATCATGGCGATCGTTTCGTCGGCATCAAAGTCAGTCTCACGGTCGAGACTAGTTAAGCGGAGTAGAGCTTCCTTGGCATCCTCGTTGCGGCCTCTTCGGACTAGCCACCAGGGT